GTGGCATATTCTTATATAAAAAGAGTTATCATTTGGGGCAATACTATATACCGGAAAACGCCGGAAAACACCGAAAACAACCGGAAAAACCGAAAAACCGAAAAACAACCGGAAAACACCGAAAAACAACCGGAAAACACCATTTTATACTGAATACCGGAAACACCGGAAAAACACTAAATACTGGAAAACACCCTAAATACCAGAAACACCCTAAATAGGTAACCCGGAAAACACCGAAAAACAACCGGAAAACACCGAAAAACAACCGGAAAACACCATTTTATACTGAGTACCGGAAACACCGGAAAAACACTAAATACTGGAAAACACCCTAAATACCGGAAACACCCTAAATAGGTAACCCGGAGCCTGGTCCTCTGTGTGCGGTTTTGGACCAAGTGAGCGCCGATGAAGGAAGGTCAAGGTCATAACGATGTTCGTTTTACAAATAGCCCCCCACCCCCCAAAAAAAAATTTCTGTCACATAAAAAAAATTCGAATTTTTCCGAAAAATTGGTTTTACAAAAAAAAAAACATTCCGTAGAAAATAATTTTACAGGGATAAATACTGGAAAAAAATTTGAATTTTTCCTTTGAGAGAAATTTGGGAAAAGAAATTGTGAAAAAAAATCTGAAAAGAAATTTTTCTTTGACCGTAGGCGATCGCTGGCTTGTATGTTAATGAACTTATTTCATCAGCGCTCACCTGGTCCAAAACCACACACGAGGACCAAACTCCGGGTTATTAAATAGCTACCAGAAAACTTAGAAGAGTAAACTGTGCCCGAGATTCTTTTTGAGAGCGCGCAGCTCCGGGAGGGATCATCGTCAGGGTGGGACGGGGGTGGAATTGTCCAGTCGCGTGACGACCATAGATCTTTCGTTCCTCAACCCATATTATTTCCACAGTCATTGTCATTAATCACATATTACGGGATGATATACGAAAATGCAGGTTTACTTTGAAATAGTGCAAATGATACTTTTCCATCTACAATCGGTGTAAGTCTTCAGCCACCAGGAAGTGGTTAACACAGTTATGTTTTATTACGATAGTAGTACATAAAACAAATTGGTTGCCTGAGGTTCTCGGGGGGGGGGGGGGGAGTAGCCTCATCGGCTAGAGTCCTCTATTTCACAAACAAAAACAACAATTGCTTCCTTGAAAATTTATCGATCAACCCTTTTCACAGACGTTCAGCTTACCACTTCCCGTCAATGCAGTAAGATAGAATATGTAGTTTTCTCATGGACAATTGGGCGAAAGTTGGAGTTTTCTCAAGGAAAACTGGTCAACAAGTTGGGGAAAAAAGCTCTAAAAGTAATCCAGAAAAAATCCTGTGTGCGGCCCTCGGAATATGATGGAATATTTGACCCTGGAATGAAAGTAAGCTCAGAAACAAGTAGATGTTAAGCCCTTCCAACGAGATGGATAGCTCTTGGAAAGGATAGACACTTTTCAGATTACAGCCTGTCCGAGAATTGCGTGGCATACATTTCGTTTGGTGATTAGGACACATAGCGGTTAAACCTGGAACTTCAACTCGAACTATTCAGAGATTTATTAACTTGCTGTTTTATGATGCGATTTTTTGTTACCTAGGGAGGAGTTGGCCTAGTCGTACCTTCCACTAATTCGTACAACCCTGATGAAAGCGTTACTGGTAAGAATCAGGAGACCGGCGCAACCGGCATAGAATGGGGCCCTCCGCGGGCAGTGTTTAATCTACTGAAATACTGAAACACTGAAATCTACTGAAATTTACTGAAAACTAAAATTAAAATACAAAATAAAATATGATCAATGATGGATGTAGACTGATTGCGTCTTTTAAAACATTCAAAACATAATAGGCATCAACTAAATTTTGGAGAAAAAAAATCGGATTTTTTTTAATTTATTTTATTTTTTTTTTGGGGGGGGGGGGCTATTTGTAAGACGAACATCGTAATGACCTTGACCTTCATTCATCGGCGCTCACTTGGTCCAAAAACCGCACACAGAGGACCAGGCTCCGGGTTACCTATTTAGGGTGTTTTCCGGTATTTAGGATGTTTTCCGGTATTTAGTGTTTTTCCGGTGTTTTCCGGTATTCAGTATAAAATGGTGTTTTCCGGTGTTTTCCGGTTGTTTTCCTGTGTTTTCCGGTGTTTTCCGGTATATAGTATGGCCCTATAATTTGGTAAACATTAGCTGGTTCTGTGGGAATAAGAATATCATGTATTACATGTGATAGGAAATTTACGATTGCATCATTTGGCTTGTTTAACCAATCTCTATGCTTATTACATCATATCTGACCAATTAGATAATTTTTTTTTCTAAACAATATTTTCATTCAGGTTGTCTGAATGGGATTGGGGAACATTGTACATATGTAAGCAGCTATGATATATAAAATGTAAAAAAGAACTATTGCATTGTTATTCCTGGTAAGACAAACGTCTTAAGAAAGCAGTAAGAAGTAAATACACAACGGGAAGGGAAAACAAAGACAACCAGAGACAAATTTTAGACGACCACAAGGCTACTAAAATATGTAGTAAGAAAAGTTTCAAGGGTCGTACGTCGGATGTGGCGACCGGTTTTGGAATATCCCGCTCTCCACGTCTGACAGAAGACCCATGGTATTACATGTACACGTAAGTTCAATAAAGTTATATAGTAAGATATTAGATTTACGTGTACGTGATGGATAATGGCCGAAGACTGTCCATTATGTAAATAGAAAGAACAACTGAGGGGCGTCAGCCGTTAGCCCCAAAGTTTTTCTTTGTATTTACACAATGGACAGTCTGAGGCTATTATCAAACTTAAAGGGCTAATCGCGATAACATTTTGGAGAATAAAACTCCTTAATTATATGTGATACGTTTTCAAACAACTTAAACCCGTTAGTCTTCATCTGGAGATGGAGACCGGTCTCCCAGGCTGTATTATGCGGTGGCTCGATAAAACCAGACTTTTATTTTATAAAACTAATGTCTAGGTGAAATTTACCTTTCGTTATCAAATTCAGCACATGGGTCATTCATTGTATAGACCTGTAAAGGAACGGGAATCGATTATCAGGCCACCAAACGAAAAAACTGACCCGAAGTCTTAAAAGGGTTACGTGTCCGGATAAGCAGTTTTGACGTTCACGTCCAAACGACTCAATAATTTGAGCTGAAATTTTGAGACACGGTAAATACACCATTCCTCTATATTTTGGCGCTTAAATGTCAAACGTACTCAGACTTTTATTTTTGAGACACTGTTCAAATCGGGATAGTCCCTTTAAAACATAGCACCATAGTCCATGGAGGTACAAATAATGGATAGTCCATTATGTAAATAGAAAGAACAACTGAGGGGCGTTAGCCCCGAAGTTTTTCATTGTATTTACATAATGGACAGTCTGAGGCTATTATCAAACTTAAAACATAGCACCATAGAGATACAAATAATGGATAGTTTTCTAAAACAACAAGCCATAAAATAATGGATATATTCTTAAAACAACATGCACATGCTCATGAATGCGTGTGAGAAAACACTCCAGTCATACAATGCAAGCATACACAGACGGTCAAAAATATTCGACATGGAGACGACATGTTTATAACACAGTCGAAAACAAATATAAATAATGAGAATATATGTGATAAGCATTTGGATACTGATGACATTGGTAATGTAGTCGATATGGAAGATAATAGCCGTAAAAATTGTGACGTCCTTGATATGGGGGAATAATAGCCGTCAAAGTTGTCATGGAAAGGCTGCTCACGAAAATGATTTAGATATTGATAATATTGTTAGAACTGTGGTTAATATTGAGGGTACTAGCCGTCCAAATTTTGGTTTAAAATTTAATATATACTCTGTTATAAGTGACAGGACACAGGATAAAAGGCACAAACCAATTCACGAAATTCAAAATCAACCGTCATTATGGTGTAACGGTGATATATTTGAACGTTTTTTATAAAGGAAAAAAATTGTGACCTGTATAGGTTCCACAGACTCCAAAGACGTTTTTTTGTTCAATCAGGGGCCATAATCCAAGAAGTTACGGTCCGATATGCGCCAATATCGCAAGGAATCGAAATATTTGGGTTATAATCACAAATGTTCAGTTTCATCAAAATGGGCTAATAATTGTGACCTCTATTGTGTACAGTCAGGGGCCATAATCCATGAAGTTACGGTCCTATACAACCTACTATCGAAAGGAACCGAGATCTTTGGGATATATACCTATATTTCAAGTTATGACCTGTAGAGTGTCCACAAAGAAGGTGTGAAAATGTAGGCGTATAAAAACGTATCATCGATCTAGTGCCGAACGTACTATTAAACAGACAAGTGACATATAACGGACGGACTTAAGTGGAATTTATTATGTAGACAAACACGTGAAATCAACATTCGGTTATGTGACATTTCGGTGACTATGAGGTTTTAAAGTAATTTCATGTTCTGTAATTTAATTTGTTCAGAGAATAAATTATCTCAAAATACATGTTCATTTTTCAGATACGTGTCTGTTATTGGTATTTTCTTAAACAGTCGTCTATTATTTATAAAACTGTCCATTATTTATTAAAAATAATAGACAGTTTTATAAATAATCGACGATTGTTAAGCGTACATTCTCCTATATACTGGTTAAAAACATCAAAGGGTGACGTCATATCTATGTTTTAAGTAAGTCTTACGGGTGTTTTGTGAAAGAAAGGGAAACCAGGAAACTAGACAAGTTTTTCACCCAACCTGTATATGTATACCTATATCTATCATGATTAGCCTCATCTCCCGTGAAACACAATAAATGGGTATAAATTAATATAAGTACATTAACATGAAATATCAATAACCTTACAGCAGCCAGGCCGTATCCTTACTTTAGTGAATATAAAACTACAACGTTTTATGAACTAAATTACTGAGATCTGTGTGGGTGGGTGGGTGGGGGATAACCTGGTATTAAGTCAGACGCGACAATGCGTACCTCTACAAACTTCTCCTGGAGCTTTAAATACATCTGGCGAGATATCATCAAAACCATCTTGACAGCGACAAGAAAATGTCCGCATTCTATGAGTACATCTAGCATTCATGTCACAATAATTGTGATTGGCATCCACACAATGGCTGTATTCTGAAAATAGATTTCACAACATAAATACTCACAGTCACAATTTGCAATTATCATTGTTCCCTGTCGGATTAATTTGTCAGAAATCCACCTGTAATCATACAACCTCTTGAATACTTTCGGTTTATCTCTTGATAACACCGCTTAGGTGGTTTCGTGACTAACACATGGTCAGTTTTTTAGTTTTAATAAATCCGTAGCTTTAAGGGACTTTAGCATTGGCACCGTGGTAGGAAACCAAAGATCCCGGAGAAAACCCACGAAATTAAGGAGGCGACCCTTGACACGCACTAGATTTCCATACATTCAGGCACCTACATCAATGATAAACCTTTTTGATCTACAGCGAACGCTACCCAAACCAGTAACAAATGATCTGCTTTTGAAATACGAATATGAAAGCCCCAACATCTCTACAGATTTAAATTATACCTGTCAATAGTTGCAGATATTGTGACATACTGGCATTTTCACCCAATATTAAGCCTGTACCAGTTAACTTGACCAAACGATCAGTATCAACATAAGCAACAGCTGTAAGTCCACGATTATACATAGTCTGTAGTTTCTCTCTACGAGGTGCCGAGTTCTTATCTAGAGCTACTTCAAACACAACTTTATTGCTATCAAGATCTAAGGAGGCGATATAGATATCTAATATTCCTGTTAATCCTTGATTACCAAAAGCTGAATATAACTGAAAATAGAAAACATACATCATGTTGGAGGGGGTCACGGTGGCTAAGTGGGTAAGACGCTGGCTCGCTATCCTAGAGGTCGGGTGTTCGATCCGTGCATTGACCGAAAAAGTTCATCCAGATTTTCTGGCTTGGTCCCCCCCCCCCGTGTCAGTGATGCAGGACGGAAAACCGAGGTCCCGTATACACATTGGCGTGCACGTAAACGATCCCTTGACAGTTGGAATTCGATATAAAATTAGGCCGTAGTGCCGCTGTCCGGGCAAAATTTCCCTCATAGCAGACTATGGCGTATGCCAGTCTTCATTAACCCTGTTCGGAGAAGAATAGTAGAATTTTAAACCCCATTTCATTTCATCATGTTGGAAAAGTTCTAAACCACCTTGCAGATATTCTTAACTAAAGTATCATAACTTTAAACCAGGGCTTCTTTTGGTTGATTTGATAGCTATAGAAGAAGTTTAAATATGCTTCTAGGAAAATTCAGTATGGCGACTTTCCCGTTTAACTATTCAAGCAGACAATATCGTTGAATGGTGCTCAATTCAAATTATTCTCGGGGTATTCAAGGTTTAATACACGTTAGATAGATACCACTTACCGCTTGCCTTATTTCTGAGTTAAATTTGACATATTCATCACTATTTACATCTTTCAATGATTCAGAAAACTCGTTGGCGAATGTTATTTCTCCTCTAAAAAACTGAGCGGCTAAAAATAACAATAAAAAATATTTGTATTTTTTATCTTTCAGGAAATAAGTAACTGTAATAGTATATACATGATGATTGGCAAATTGTGTGCTTTAAAAAAAAACAAACAAAAAAAACTAAAACCCACACAGCATGGATGGATGCCTACCAAAAAGTCGCAGCAAATTTGGTCTATAATACGTCCGACGTCCCCTAGTTGCAATATTGTAGAGGCACCGTGTTCGCTGCAACAAATGGTACATTCTTCGGCGCTTTGTGCAAGTGAAAATAGTTCCAAACGCATAATTCTCAAACCACATAATCACAATTTGTATGGAAATAAATAATTCTATCACATATAGTGAAGAATGGACCACTAAAATATATCTTTTACTCTATTCCCGAAGACATGGTAACCAGCATTATTTTCAGGCTAATCAAAATTGAGTGTGTAATTTTACGCCTTATAAATATGTTAAATTGGTACCCTTTTGACTTGCCCGCGGATGTAGGGTAGGGGGGGGGGGTAAGAACAGGGCTTTATACACGGCTATTATTTGTTTAGTTGGCGGGGTTATTAACCACGTCTTTTTGGATGATTCTTTTTTAAAAACATAGGCGCAAAAATGTATTTGAGAGAAACGATTTCAAATTGTTTAACACAATTTATATGTTCAAAAATTTAACAGGAATAATTTGCATCTGGCCATCGACACTGATTTTCGACAGTTTTGTTTCCTCGGGTTACTATTTCATAAATTTAGTGATTCATTTTAATCCGGATTTTAAACCCGAGTTTTCCCAAATAGTCATCTTGACAAACACAAATATAGAAGATATTGATACAACCTGTCTGTTCCTAGGCTATAGATGCCACATTGTCTTCAAATAAGTCCGCATTTTTATTTAATTAAACATTGAAAACCTAGGCTAAAACTTCTGTTGTGATCAGCTCTAACTTTAACTAAACATTTGTTTAAACCCACAAACACACCATTACAATTCCCAACATCTAACCCTTATATATGCCTTGGTGACGTAAGACATTCCATAATGATCGCCTATCTGTAAAACAGTCGATATAAAGCTTTCCTCCGAATTGCCGTCTTGCCTATAGATATAAGTATTGCAGGGACAGTGCTTCCACGGTGAGGAGTCCTATAGGCAAAACACAAACTTTTTTTATTACTTTACTTGGGAGGGTCTCCACTAACAAATGACACAGCCCATTCCCTATTTGGCATAGTCTTACTAACGTAAGGACACAGCCTGCATAGTTTGACAGTGAATGTTTAAAATTAAAAGCAGCAAAGTACTCTAGGCTTAAAGTCTTTAGAGAGTGTAATCAACAATCCGCACTAACTGAATACAAAAATAATCAAAACAAGTTTAAAAATGTATGTAAACGCAAAAAGATAGCTTATAATCAAAATATTTATGATGTATTATTATTAGATTTAGAGGACAATTTTGGCAAGCATTGAAGGATTTCAGATCAACATCACCAGCCCCAACTGGGATCCCCGCACATGAGTGGAAGCAATATTTTGAATCTCTTTTAAATATTAATAATCATTCAATTGGAGTAGCTTATTCTAAGGTAGATTATGACTGGGATGATCGAAAATCTATTTCTATCTATAGTACTGATATATTAAATACTCCTATTTTAGTATCAGAAGTATTAAATGCTTCACAACAAATGAAATCTGGCACTGTCCCAGGGCCAGATGGAATGGCTACAGATTTTCTTACAGTATGTTCAAATTCATTTTCTATCGCACTAGCCAATCTGTTTAATAAGATTTTTGATACAGGAGAATTTCCCGATTCTTGGTCAAAAGCCCCAATAGTTCCGGTGTATAAGAAAGGTTAAGATCTTATAGTAATAATTACAGGGGAATTTCTCTTCTGGACTGCATTGGAAAGGTGTATTCTTCCATCTTAAATAGAAGGTTAAAAGATTGGTCTTAAATAAATGATAAATACAAAGGGGCCCAAGCAGGCTACCGACCCGGTTATTCGACGGTGGATCATATTTTCACAACTTATCTAAGAAAAAGGGTAGATTCTATTGTCTATTTGTAGACTTTTCTAAAGCCTTTAACTCAATAAATAGAACCAAATTAATATTATGTTTATTAGCCCAAAAAGGTATACAAGGCAATATGTTGAGGGCATTAAGAAGAATGTACACTGCATTGTCATCTTGCGTAAAACTTGGATCAAATATTACCCCTTATTTTGAATGCCGTACTGGTGAACGTCAAGGTTGCATCCTAAGTCTCATTCTGCTTTGTTTTTACATTAATGATTTATTATATGATATGATCGAAAATGCCGATGTTAGGGCCATTTTCACAATACAGGAGGTAAATGATATCCTGGCATTGTTATATGCTGACGATCTCGGAATACTTTCCGACAGCGTTGGTGACCTTCAAAGGAAAATACAAGTGCTTGAAATGTTTTGTAAACTGTTTAACTTTGATGTAAATATAAATAAAACAAAGGTTATAGTCTTTAGAAATGGTGGAATTATTAGAAAAGTGTTTTTTAAGGAAGTAAAACTAGAATGTATTACATATTATAATTATTTAGGTTTATTGTTTTCCTCAAGATTGTGTTGGGGTAAATGTTTATTAAAATTATCACTTCAGGCAGAAAAAGCTTTGATACCAATTAAGTCGCTATTTAGTAAAATTGGCCACCCATCATTAAGTGTATCATTTAAAGTGTTTAATAGTATAATAAAACCTATACTTTTATATGGCTCTCAAGTATGGGGCTATGAATATCGAGCGGGTATAGAGAAGGTACACTCCAGTTTCTGTAAATTTGTATTAGGTATACATAAAACTTCAACAAACGCAGGGGCATTGGGTGAATGTGGAAGACAAAATTCAAATGTATACTACATGTCAACCTGTATCAGATACTGGTGTAAACTTCTACATATGCCGATCGAGAGGTACCCTAAACAGGTTTACCTTATGCTTAGGAATTTAGATTTAGCAGGCCGTAAAACCTGGGTCTCAAACATTACTACTTTATTCTCTTGGTTTTGCTTATGTATTTAACGTTGAAATAATTGGTGATACTAATAACTTTATTGGAGTCTTTAAGCAGAGGTTACAGGATATCAACATACAAGAATGGTCGATACGTTTAAATAGTTCTGAGAGCTTAAAAGAGTATAGACATTATAAGCATGACTTATGTCAAGAATTTTACCTGTCTTGTAACGTAACAATGGCATATAGACGAACTATAACTCGCTTACTTTTAAATCAATTACCATTGGCGACCAATCATCATCGTTTACATGTTAATAATTCATCACTATGTCCAATGTGTAAGATGGTTGACGAAGATATTTTCCATTTTTTATTTGATTGTACACCTTATGAGCCATTAAGGAATCAGTATATGCCTGTTAAATTTGCTAAAGGGTATTATGATCAAAATCGATTTTACAAATTATGCACAACTAAGAATAGAGATTTCATTATTGCCATTGCCCCGCCATTGAAAAAAAACTTGAACATTATTAATGTATATATTATATTCTTCGTAGTGCAAATATATACAAATGTCATAAAAAATGTCAATGTATTATGGGCCAATGACCTGATATACAGAATAAAGATTTATAAAAGGCTATTGTGATTACTAAAATTATTATTATTATTATTTCCCCGGGAGCATATTTCTCAGTACCTGTAACAGATACCAACCTGGGACCTAATTTTCTATTGGGAGACCATGTGGTGGTTACTTGATCAACTACTTTTGAAACTTTTGCGCAGACCGGAAGTGGTCAAATTTGGTACGGTGCCAAAAAATCAGAAACCGGCCGTAGTTTTATCAATTATTTCCCTATTTTCAAACAAATGACATTATCGGAAACCCTGAGTCTTTTCCGGGACGATAGCAGTTTAATATTCATCGACTTATTTCGTTCGAAAATGGCAAACATGTCGTTTACGAGACAATTTTTGATAATTTTCAAAATATTCAAATTTGACCTACATTTTTGGATACCTGGAGTCAATCCGATTACAGTAATATAAGTTTCATTCAGAGTCGGTAGTGTTGTGCATGAAGACATTCAATAGGATTTTGAAATAAGTGGAATAGGAGAAAAAAGGGACTAAAAATCGAAAAAAAAGTCGAAAAATCGTTAAATTTTGGAAAATGCTCTATTATTATTTTATTTTTACAGATTTTCAAAAAAGATTTATATATTAAGATAGCTGTTCTAATGACGATTCTAATAGGAGAAAAAGGGACTAAAAATCGAAAAAAAAGTCGAAAAATCGTTAAATTTTGGAAAATGCTCTATTATTTTTTTGTATTTTTACAGATTTTCAAAAAAGGTTTATATATTAAGATAGCTGTTCTAATGACGATTCTAATAATGTATAATATACTCAGCCAAATTAAAAACTTGACACTCGGGATTTTTGGGACTAGATTTTTAATATTTGGTTTAAGGCAACCATTTTAGTGTTATGTTGTGCACAGACGACCTTGACATCAACAGAAAGCAAGAATACGTCTCGCCGAAAGTCCTTGACATTGATAACGTTCGTGATGTCACAGTACCCCCCAAAATGAAATTCACAGACTTGGAGAACAATCGAAATAAAGTGTTTAGTAACGGTTGTGGCCTCCTTTAGCGTCTCGTACTGCCACACAACGTCTTCTCATGCATCTCAGAACATTAGTAAACACTACCCGAGGAAGACGTCGCCACTGCTCAGCAAGAGCATGTTGAAGGTCCTGCAACGTCAGTGGTGGATTCACTTGCTGACGAACACGTCGACCCAGTTAGTCCCAGATGTGTTCAATAGGATAAAGGTCGGGGCTAAGCGACGCCAATCCAGGATTTAGACACCGGCAATTCTTAAAAAATTCTGGGTAGCAATTGCTGTATGGGGTCGAGCATTGCCTTGTTTAAACGATAGTCCAGGCCCATGTCTCTGCATAAACGGAGAGAACAGGTTGCAAAATTTG